GGGGGGGGGGGGGGGGCGATCTTTTTAAAGTGCCAGGACACTGGGGTTGGGCAGGGGATGGGGCCTGTTCGATTTGGAGATTTGGCGGTGACCAAATCTCCAAATCAGATTTGGCCAAATCAACTTGGGAAAGTGATTCAAATAACCAAATTGAACCACTGTCCCCTGAATCAGTCGAATCCGAATCCAAAGCACATACTAGCCACTTTGCACAGGCCTAAGAATTTACTACAATAAAACCTCTGCCATTGAGTTGCAAGGATGCAGTGTGGGGAATAATAAGTAATTTATACATTGCAACAGGATAGACGAGGTTGCCTAAAAAGAACCAAACCCAAGCAGCCAGAACATCTAGTCATCAGCTCCCCAGAAAATTTTTCACCATTAGTGTTCCTATCGCCCAGAAGCAGGCAGCTCTCCCTGCCTCCACAGTGGAAAATTCAGAGAGACTGAAGGACAACATGTGATCTCCTCAAAAGTGCCTCTTTCCTGAGGTGTGTGGAGCTATAACTGCACGTATACCTTTGTATAATTTGTTCCTTCATTTTTAAAAAAATTCTCCAGTAGAGGACTCCTTGCCTACTTACTACCCTTTTTTATTGCACTTCTCTCTACTTTTTGCTAAGTGTTTTCTGGAACATATTTTCCAGAAGCTGAACTCCAGGGTGAAGGTGGAGCCATTCAATCAATCTTATGGAGCAATCACTTTGTAATATCTTGCTTATTATTTTTTCCACTTCTTAATACAGCCTAATATTGTATTTGCTCTTTTGGCTGCACTGCACATTAAGCAAACATTCTTATTAAAATGTCCAAGATGATGCTGAGACTCTTCCTGAGTAGTTACAGCTAATTCAGAACTCAGTGTGGATGAGTAATGTAAATTGCTCCTTCCAACAGTGCCTTTCCATGTACTTATCTGCAGTGAATTTAATCTTATAGTTTCATAGTTTCTAGGGTCGGAAGGGACCTGAGCAGATCATCTAGTCCGCCCCCCTGCCATGGCAGGAAGAGCACTGGGGTCAAATGACCCCAGTAAGGTGGTCATCCAACCTCCTTTTAAAAACCCCCAGGGTGGGGGCCTGCACCACCTTACTTGGAAGCTGGTTCCAGACTCTAGCCGCCCTGACCGTGAAGTAGCACCTCCTGATGTCCAACTTAAACCTTCCCTCCGCCAGCTTGTGACCATTGTTCCTGGTCACTCCTTGCGGCGCTCGGGGGAACAGGGACTCCCCCAGCGCCTGCTGATCCCCCCTAACCAGTTTATAACAGGCCACAAGATCCCCCC